CCAGCGCACCAGGATGCATACAATTCACCACCCCATAAACCACCAACCTGAGATGCAGCTCCGTCCTCGTTCAATTTGCTTCCGAGTCCATTGTCGGTCGAGGAGAACTCCAGTTGTCCCAGCAGCAGACACACAGCCACCAGTTCAAACAGCGTTGTCTGTTCTTCACCACTGAACCCAACTGCCTGCAAGGACACCAAATGAAAATTGAAGTGTGCACCATTGCCATGGTGATATCAGGTAACGAAAGACAGTGTAGTTCGTAGGCTACCGTATTTCCCCGAATATAGGTTACACCTTTTTAGTTTACATTACAATTCAAGGGCAGAAACAGGTTGCGATTTACCTTCCAGCATGAATTGCTACTGACGTGATCATGCTGGAACAATATGGCTCAAGCTGATGATGGAGGTTCTTGAATAGCTAAAAAATAAACTCACTGATGCTGACATAACAGCATGGTAAAGTAATGACATGAAATAGGTACAGTACGTTTCAGAAACGTTCGTCACCCTCAATGGTTTAATAATAGCTATGCGCAGACATCACCACGCAACATGACAATTTGTTCAAGGTTTGGTTTTGTGTGTTTCCAAAATCGATTTTCACGTTCCGATCATCAGTGGAAATACGGAACTAAAGAGATCAAGGGAAAAACAAAGGTTAAAAATCCAAAGAAGTGTGACACATGACGGGTAACTTGTGGTAAGTATTACAAAAAGTGAGAACTAAAATAAAGAGTAAGTGTGACAAACGGGCATGAACAGTGCAGAAACAACTCATGAACACGGGGTGCAAACTCACGAAAATAACCTAAGTGCTAAAACATGTTCTTTTTGCTTACACAAATCGGGCTTATGCGTACGAATACAAACAGCTTCAAGGACCTTCAACTGCTGGACATAACGGGCACGACACAGTACAGAGAAGTGGGAATCATCATACACACTCAGCCAATCGGGACGAGATAACAAATGCAAATACACAGCTGACTTCTTACGAATTTCACCCTCATCAGCTCCATCACCTTCCCTGCCACCTGACTCCTCCTCGTCCGTTTTATCACCATCACCACCAGCCGTCTCATCGTCATCCGCCTCGTCTTCATCCGCCGCCTCGTCATCACCCGCCTCGTCGTCATCTGTATCCTCGCCGTCATCCGCCTCGTCGTCATCTGTATTCTCGTCATCCGCCGCATCATCACCCAACTCATATTCACCACCAGTCAGTCGTTTGATACCATCCATGTTCTCCTTCCTACGTCTGTCCCGTGCCACTGTCCTTACCTCATCTACGTCCCGATATTGTGTTCCGTTTTGCCCCCGGCTTCCGGTCTCCTTCGATGCTCCGCGTGGGCCTTGGCCATTCCTAGCATATATTTCTGTTGAATAATTGGCGGTCGACCTCCGTGGTCTCTGGACACACGGATCAAGCGCTGGAGGGTGCTGCGGTGTCCGCACAGCCGGATACTGTGTCAAAGAAATGGGATCAATTTCTGTGATTGGCGGTACTGTCGTTGTTGCCGACTCCTCCCCAACCCCAGCCACCAACGGCACTGGTGGTGGCTCCGGTGGCGGCAAGGGCAACGGTGGAGAAGGCACATTCGGTTGGCTTAGTGATCCACCACTCTTCCTCTGCACCGTGTGTTCGACTTGCTCTGGTTGTGTCGGTGGTAGAGGGAGCGGGTTCTTGCGTGGTCTTCCCCGCTTCGGGCGCTTCGCTTTTGCTGCGTCCGGCAGCATGTGAAGTGGTACATGCTGCTTGATACGTGCGCTCAGGTGTACAGATGACGACGAGGCGGATGACGGCGAGGATACAGATGACGACGAGGCGGGTGATGACGAGGCGGCGGATGAAGACGAGGCGGATGACGATGAGACGGCTGGTGGTGATGGTGATAAAACGGACGAGGAGGAGTCAGGTGGCAGGGAAGGTGATGGAGCTGATGAGGGTGAAATTCGTAAGAAGTCAGCTGTGTATTTGCATTTGTTATCTCGTCCCGATTGGCTGAGTGTGTATGATGATTCCCACTTCTCTGTACTGTGTCGTGCCCGTTATGTCCAGCAGTTGAAGGTCCTTGAAGCTGTTTGTATTCGTACGCATAAGCCCGATTTGTGTAAGCAAAAAGAACATGTTTTAGCACTTAGGTTATTTTCGTGAGTTTGCACCCCGTGTTCATGAGTTGTTTCTGCACTGTTCATGCCCGTTTGTCACACTTACTCTTTATCTTAGTTCTCACTTTTTGTAATACTTACCACAAGTTACCCGTCATGTGTCACACTTCTTTGGATTTTTAACCTTTGTTTTTCCCTTGATCTCTTTAGTTCCGTATTTCCACTGATGATCGGAACGTGAAAATCGATTTTGGAAACACACAAAACCAAACCTTGAACAAATTGTCATGTTGCGTGGTGATGTCTGCGGCATTCATACTTTTCATAGCTATTATTAAACTTTTATCTCCACGTAGATTACCCTCAATGGTATTATTTATAGTTTTTTTTCTCCTCTTTCCATTGAGGATGGTGTGTGTATGGTTTTTATGTTCTTTCTCCTCTCTCAGAAATCATTTTGATCATTATACGCTGTGCACGAATACTGGAACTTACCTTCATTGCCTCCTTGGTTTCAGCGAACTGACGTTTGTCGTCCACACCCTTCACGGGCGAGCAGTCACCCTGCTTTAAGTAGTCCAGATCCTTAGGGGAGCTCGGCAGACCGCAGGATGACGCAAACGACGCATCACTCAAGATCTGAACGACATGAAGCATGCACACACCACGCAAGACAACGTGCTTTCAACGGACCATGTCGTCTGATCTTCGCTTGGTGCGTGAAACTCGGAGTAGCAACACACTTTTCATGCTCTTATTTTTGTTACTTTCAACAGATATGCATATGACAACATCCTTGGACACTATAACTTTCATGGACAAGGTCGGTTTTCAGTCTAACTGACTGCGTAATGATAATAAGAAAACATAGTGGCCTGTAATGGTGCACAGTGGTGTGCGCAGTCATGTTGCCTGCAAGTAAGAAGGGCAGAGTGTAACAGAGAAAGGCACTTATCAAACCGGTAGACCGATTCAATATACGAAACATCTCCACATGTTCTTCTCGTACACGAAAGCAACTAGACTGCAAACGAATTCACACACACACTGTCCAAGGAAATTGTTCGGGAACACATGTTCTGCTAGTTGCGCACGCTCGAAAGTCCAAACAGCAATGACATGCAAGAGACATTGTACAGGATTTTGAAGGGCGCGTGCCCACGTGACTCGCGCATGCGTGCAGGTTGGGCCAGCTCGCTGGGCTGGCTGCTAACTCGCGTTAGCATGCTAATGCTCATACAAAATCCACATATCTCCAGACACTGGGTTGAATAATGGAGTGCGGTGGTGGGGCCCATTAAGCTCAGCCGACCAGAGAGGGAGATGTACATGTACAGTAGTTGTACCTGGTAAAAGATGTGAAAGTTCCGCTCGCCGCTCTGCTGTGTGATGACCCGTGCCTTCTCCAGCAGGTACGTGGAAATATGTCCGCCGACCGGGTTGCCACGGAAATCAAAGTTGATGTCCATGTACTTGCCCTGCCGTGGGCACAGAATACAGAACACAGAACACAGATCACAGATCACAGATTACAGACAGAGAAACAGTGGTCTTCATGAATGTTGTGATCACAGACAGAGAAACAGTCCTCTTAAATGCTTTGATCACAGGCAGAATTATACTCGTCAATACTACCGGTCACTGATGTCCAGAATTTGGTTCCTGGAAAATGGAAATACCCAGTAGTACCCGTATAGGCCTATACGCGGACTACATTTGAGGTCAATTGGATGGTACGACTATACAGGCTTCACAGCATTTGCGCACAACGGATGTCAGCAACTTTCCAACCTATAAGGGGGGGGGGGGGGGCGTGAAGCCGCGCCATTTCACATCGTCCCAGCACGCAGTAGCTGCATGCCTGCCCTAGCTTGGTGACACAACAGGAAGGAGCTGCATTCTTACATTTGGGGGGGGGGGGGGTCAACGCATGCACGGCATACAAGTGCTTGTTTTGACTACTAGTACGCGTTCAGCGGTTGGAGTAGCTGAAAGGTTCAAGCCTGCTCCTAGACATGAGTGGGCATTGCTTTCGAATACTCCTGACGTGTACCATGGCTATTGCGCTGTTCAGGGTGCACAGGACTTTGCTGTACAAGTTCTGCACAGTGGAGTGGAAACATGTTGTGCCTTAAAGTTTCATACTGCAGCAAATCACTCTCCATGTGACACAACAACGAGTTAGGCTGCCAGGTTGGGTGAAGGGACTATAGAGAATTTTTTAATATTTTTTATTTATTTTTTTACTAAGGCCACAGCTTCCAATCATGACATGCAAAGCAGCGGTGCAGCACCGCAGGCATGAATCGTGGACGTGGTGACGGGGTCTGATGTGCTCTGCCGACCTAGGGTCTCGGCTTCACTGCACAGCAAACGCGTCGAGAAATGCACAGCCATACCGACAGAACAGTTCACGTTCGGTGGCAGCCAACTTACGAATCGACTCGAGTTGTCGTTGCGGTTTGTCTTGGAATTGCCGAATGCCTCGAGGAGAGGATTGCTCTGGATGAGCAGGTTCTTCACACGCTCTACCTCAGACTGGTGAGCGGAGTTCGTTACCTAGTCAACGTAAAGCGGCACACAGAACAGAAACAAGAGCCAAATGAGCATTGGATTGACTGGCGTGACAGAGGGTTCAGAAACAGCAACGTGAAAAAGGCCGCAGATAAAAGCCCTCTGGTGACCCTCAGTTACCTGTTTTCTCTTCGAACCTCTTCAAAGTTTAAAAAAATGTTACATGTTATCCGTAGTTGGTGTCCAACACTAACGGCAGTTATAAGCAAAATGTTGTGTAGTTAGAAGGTGTAACAGCTAGCACTATACTGACTACGGATAACATGTAACATTTTGGTCCTTTCTTTTAAATTTAATCCTTGGCTGTCCGTCCGAGTCTTACTCTAAAAAGTTGTGCATTATTGTGCTTGCGAGGCAACGCACTTAACTGAACCAAACAATAACAAACCACAGGGGAAAGGAGAATAGTGGAGCAAGCTTATATTCCATGTTCAACTCGAGGCAAAGAACAACACGAGCGGTCACTCCGGTGAGACAAGTGTTATGGCTGTTACAAGGCTGGATTAGGTACGCCAAAGCCTGGTTCACCTACCTTGGAGATGTAGCGCATGACAATCTTGCTTGCCTCGGTTTTGCCTGCGCCAGATTCGCCTGCGGCAATACACAAGTGGACGTGATCAAAGCTGTCATGATGTTTGGAAATGCAGGGCATATGCGGAGGCAGCACAGAGAAAGCGACCCCTAGACACCGCTTATCTAGTGACAGTGGTAGGTGGTAGGCAGTTACACATAACCACACACACACACACACACACACACACATACACACGCAAGCATGTGCACAATCATACACACACGTATACACACGCGGAGTACGAAAATTAATGTTTCACTCATACCTCTCTCTCTCTTTCTTTCTCTCTCCTCTCTCTCTCTCTCTCTCTCTCTCTCTCTCTCTCTCTCTCTCTCTCTCTCTCTCTCTCTCTCTCTCTCTCTCTCTCTCCTCTCTCTCTCTCTCTCTCTCTCTCTCTCTCTCTCTCTCTCTCTCTCTCTCTCTCTCTCTCTCTATCTCTCTCTCTCTATCTCTCTCTATCTCTCTCTATCTCTCTCTCTCTCTCTCTCTCTCTCTCTCTCTCTCTCTCTCTCTCTCTCTCTCTCTCTCTCTCTCTCTCTCTCTCTCAGGCTCTCTATCTCTCTCTCTCTCTCTCTCTCTCTCTCTCAGGCTCTCTCTCTCTCTCTCTCTCTCTCTCTCTCTCTCTCTCTCTCTCTCTCTCTCTCTCTCTCTCTCTCTCTCTCTCTCTCTCTCTCTCTCTCTCTCTCTCTCTCTCTCTCTCTCTCTCTCTCTCTCTCTCAGGCTCTCTCTCAGTCTCTCTCAGTCTCTCTCAGTCTCTCTCTCTCTCTCTCTCTCTCTCTCTCTCTCTCTCTCTCTCTCTCTCTCTCTCTCAGGCTCTCTCTCTCTCTCTCTCTCTCTCTCTCTCTCTCTCTCTCTCTCTCTCTCTCTCTCTCTCTCTCTCTCTCTCTCTCTCTCTCTCTCTCTCTCTCTCTCCCTCTCCCTCTCTTATCCGGACTTCAAAATCCCGGGCACCTCAGTCCACTGGGCACCCTGTGTGGTGAGTTTGAGTGGAAATATTACTAACCCCTTTTGCCAATCCGACGCCTGATCATGGGGTGGTGGCGTCCATATGAGGCGGAAAGGTGGTTCTTGAACTGCCGGTACGCGAGCCGTCCAATTTTCTTTTTGTTTGGCCAATGTTGTGAAAGCAGTGATGTCCTGTAGCAGATCCCTGGCCCTTGCCCATAGAAACGCATGTAATTCAGAGCTAGTGGTATTTCACAGTTACTGGCAGTGCCAGGTTGCAGACAGCCCATGAAAGAGATCTGATAGTACAGTACAACCTGTGACTAACAACCACCCGTTGGGGCCAGAGAAAGCAGTCTTTAATGGCAGGTGGTCCTTAGTTAGAGGTTTGCACCGCACAAACATGTTATGAATGTGAGACAGTCCGCGCCTGGTGAAGTGGTCTGTAGTACCAGGCCGGTTGCTAGTCACAGTGGTCTTTAGTTCCAGGTTTTAATGTATTTGCCAAACTGTAGCGTTCAGTCTTACCGGATATGACGACACAGCTGTCTTTGGAGCGCCTCCACATGGCCTGGTATGCACTGTCGGCCAGCGAGAAGAGATGCGGTGCGGAGAGCATGGCCTTGCCGCGATACTCCTCAACCGTCTCATCGGAGTAGATGCCAAGCGACTTGTAGGGGTTGATGGATACAACAGTCTCGCCGATGTTTGTATAGATGCGATCCTACCGGATATGTGCGTGAATAGCGAGAGGGAGCAGAGACATGATGGGGATAGATAAATATAATTATAGAGCATGAAAGGGAGAGCAAGAGGGAGCGACCAGAAGGTGAGAGGTAGAGTGAATGAGAGAGAGAGAGAGATAGAGCGAGAGAGCGAGAGAGATAGATAGATAGATAGATAGATAGATAGATAGATAGATAGAGAGAGAGTGAGAGAGAGAGCGAGATAGAGAGAGAGACAGAGAGAGAGAGAGAGAGAGAGAGAGAGAGAGAGAGAGAGAGAGAGAGAGAGAGAGAGAGAGAGAGAGAGAGAGAGAGAGAGAGAGAGAGAGAGACAGAGAGAGACAGAGAGAGACAGAGAGAGAGAGAGAGAGAGTGTGTGTGAGAGAGAGAGAGAGAGAGAGAGAGAGAGAGAGTGAGAGAGAGAGAGAGAGAGAGAGATAGAGGGAGAGAGAGAGAAAGAGAGACAACGATGGAACCGTGTAATGATCAATTCAACATCTGAAACTTCAAATATCTCTGCACTACTGGGAAGAGTGAGGAAATGTGTAAATCATCATTTGCTACAGTGTTGTGCATATTCAAACTAATCTGCGTTGCGCTAGGTATGCTGTCAGTGCTAAACTTATTCCCTAAGTTACTTATCCTAGACATAGCTGAGTGGAGCAGAGTCCTTGTGACAGTTCAAACACATATCCTTGAATCTATAGAGGCAATTCCTGAATTGGCCTCTTTTTAGTAAATGCGCTGATAGATAAATGTGCACACATGCTTGCACCCATTCATACGCACACATGCATACACCCATTCATACGCACACATGCTTGCACCCATTCATACACACACATGCTTGCACCCATTCATACGCACACATGCTTGCACCCATTCATACGCACACATGCTTGCACCCATTCATACGCACACATGCTTGCACCCATTCATACGCACACATGCTTGCACCCATTCATACGCACACATGCTTGCACCCATTCATACGCACACATGCTTGCACCCATTCATACGCACACATGCTTGCACCCATTCATACGCACACATGCTTACACCCATTCATACGCACACATGCTTGCACCCATTCATACGCACACATGCTTGCACCCATTCATACGCACACATGCTTGCACCCATTCATACGCACACATGCTTACACCCATTCATACGCACACATGCTTGCACCCATTCATACGCACACATGCTTGCACCCATTCATACGCACACATGCTTGCACCCATTCATACGCACACATGCTTGCACCCATTCATACGCACACATGCTTGCACCCATTCATACGCACACATGCTTGCACCCATTCATACACACACATGCTTGCACCCATTCATACGCACACATGCTTGCACCCATTCATACGCACACATGTTTGCACCCATTCATACGCACACATGCTTGCACCCATTCATACGCACACATGCTTGCACCCATTCATACGCACACATGCTTGCACCCATTCATACGCACACATGCTTGCACCCATTCATACGCACACATGCTTGCACCCATTCATACGCACACATGCTTGCACCCATTCATACGCACACATGCTTGCACCCATTCATACGCACACATGCTTGCACCCATTCATACGCACACATGCTTGCACCCATTCATACGCACACATGCGCACACAACATACACGCATACACATGCACAGAAATACACACACTTCCATCCCCCCCCCCCCCTCCCCACTCCCCACTGTCTCCACCCACCCACCCCACCCCCCATCCCCACACAAAATTAATGGCTACTTCTTAGTGGTTTCAAAGAGAAAGGAATTCTGTCAGACACTAGGTATACCTTGGAGAATCGCAGTTTGAGATTCTCGATAAACGCATTCTCCGTCAGGTCCTCCATCATGATGAAGTCGCTGTGGCCAAACTCGGCCGCTTCCAGGACCGCCATCTTGAATGCCAGATATCAGAGTCTGAAAGCATGAAATCACACTGAAAGATTTTCGGTATACATTTAACATAATAATTATTACAATGCACCAAAATCACGGGCTCTATAATGACAGCGGAGATGTTCAAAATCTGCTCTTTCGAACCTAAACATATTTTATGGTTTGCGTGATACTTGATTTGACTGAGTGTTCCGCGCATCCGTAGGAACGCCACCACCACCGTCGAAGATCAAGGTGCAGACGCAGCCCCCAAGGATCTTGGAGATGACCAGATCGGACCCACCACCGCTAAAATTTAGTGTGTTTGAAGGCCCGACGTTATGCTATACTGATCAGTCAGCAAGATTACTTTGGTCAAGATGGTTTTAATAATAATAACTTTATTAGGATGACCCAAAGGCTGACCGCCTATCGTGGGGTCCGTCGCATTGAAGGATGATGGTACTCCTGCCACGAAGGTACTCTTTACTGTGTTACGAAAGCCACTTGTGCAAAGATGCATTGACATACACAATCAGATGATAGATTCCATCATTGAAATCTAGGCAGAGGAACGAACCAAAAGTACCTCAAAATATCGTCAGCAGCTGTACGTGGCTGCACAGTAGAACTCCTCATCCAGGCAGGTTGGGACCAAGCACTGCCCGGAACTAGGAATTGCGCAGGACTCGGAAAGTACATACTGACCGCATGCAAGCAAGTAAATTTTTTTCACGCCAATCAATAACAATAGTAAAAAATAAATATAAAAAATAAATATAAAAATGCAAAGAAATAGTTTTTTTGGGGTGGGGAGGGGGGGGGGGGTCGTTGGAAAGCCATCCAGAAGGTTCAGAAATGTGCCCGGTAGACCATGGAATACGGACGTGCCAGGATCAGGGGCGTTTGGATATGGGGAGTTTTACTCCACTTCAATGAAAAACACTATGCCTCAAATAATGGAGCATGGGTGTTTTTTCCCCAGTACGGTTGGCAAAGCCTCGCCCCACGGTTGATTGTATGCACTTTCAGGTGGGCGTCATTCCGAATTGAACAATTGCCATACATGACGTATCCAGGCATCCAGACGAGGACGCTACAATAGTGCCTTCATGCAGGGCAGTACGCCTACTCCTGGTAGCCCCGGCGCAAGCTCTTCGCTCCTGTAGTAGTTGTACTGTCGAAGGGAATCGTTCGCAATCGCTACAGTGCGCACCCAGCATCTAAATAGCGCTCACAACACAAGCGCTGATGTACACGTAACACGACTCGGCCACAATCACGACCACCAAGGAGTCTGCCCCTCGTGCTAGAATTATGCAGAGTGGTCTTGCTTCTGAAATTTCCAATCTACACCAAACTATTTCGACGCATGCAGCGACTACAGACAGGCTAGCGACCGTCCAATTCTCTTACCAACCTTGGACTTGGCGTTCGACTGCAGAAGCCCAGTGACTGCTCTCAGTGTCCGATTCCCGGCGTCCACGTCCCACGCTTGAATGGGAATCTTCTCCAGTCCCCTCTCAACACGGCAAATGGCAGTGGAAAAGAAAAACACCTCTGCGTCCTATATCCATCTAGCAGGTTTGCCTGGCTGGATGTACATGTAAATGACACGAAATGTTTGGTGGGTGTCTTCTCAGCTGGTTATGATGTAGTTCTACGTCGCTCGAGTGCTAGAAAAAAAAACAGTGCAGTGCTACACTACGACAGGTCGAGTACACGTACTCCGCCCATGCCATGGATATGGACGCAGCACACTGTAGACTGTAGTCTACCGTGTAGATCTACTGTCAGTTTCTAGCTCTTCGTTTGACCTTTTGAGTTTTGTCGCTGACAGACAGCACGCCAGCTCTCACGCGGCAGGCAGATGGCAGAAAGGCAGATGCAGGTCTCAGCCACAACAACTGCGGTAGTAGTGAGCCGTTGCAACCTCATCCTCGACATGTGCTGTTACCTGCATGGTCACTTGGCGTTCCGAACGGAGCGAGGTGGCTGGTAGTTTTGGACTTTTTCGGTCAACAACTCTGCAAAGACTTTGGCGCTAGGCTAGACCGCAATGCTAGACTCAAAAAGTCGCCCAAAACTGCAAAAGGTAACTGACGTCGCCTTCGTTTGTGACGTAGATTTACTACTAGTACTTCGCCCAGATTAGAGTGACAACATTGAGAGCAATAATAAATGTACATGTACATGACATACTTCAGTCATGTACATGATTGTCATTACCATACATACAGTCATGTACCTTGCGCAATGGAATGGCGGCTGGCCTGTTCGCCCCTTGTGTTTCAACGTTAACATGCTGTCAACCAACAACACTACAGTTTCATCACTTTCATGCATGTTCGGGGGTATGCCAGTGGGCAATCAGGGAAGCTTCAAGCAGAACTCAAGGAAGTTCCTGCCATCGGCATGATTATTTTTCTGCGAGCATTATCCGCCAAGGTTTGATGTACTGACTGAGTACAGATGCGGTCGCTCTGCAGCTGCAGTGCTATGCATAATGCAGGGCTGGCACGATGAAAGCATTCATCCAGGCAACGCAGGCTAGATGATCTATTCTAGATAACGTTGTAAGATCACGGGCAGTCAAGTGTCAATCATGATTTTGTACTAATTATTGTCTTTATTCTCACGGTGGCCGTAGCCAATAAGAGAGAGACAGTACTATGTGTTATCAATCGGAGTGGGTGCAATAAACCGGGAAAAACAGTGGCTAGTGGCAACCGTGCTGTGGGTGCTTCATTTAAGTAAAGACGAGGAAGGAAGTATATCCATTGCGAAGGCAGGTAGGCGATAGACCTTGATTAAAATACTATACCTAGGCTGGGGTACAGCGGGGGTTGGAGCATGTGCAAATTGATGATACTATGATCGGGGTAACTTCTCTTCTGATTGCATTTATTTCTCGGAGTGAGTAACAGTGTGGTGGCAGGTGGTTGTACTGAGTGCATGCGGAGTACAAGGGTGAACGTTGAAGGCGGGTGGAGTGGGTGGTGGGGAGGGCAAAGACTCGATGACGCCTCAATTCTCGGCTTGGTGGCTCTGTGATGTAGCCTGAGGTCGCAAGCTGTATGTGTGACCAGGATCGTTTGACAGCGACGGTGTGTGCAAAGAGTAGCTGCTTGAGCTTCCTGCGGGATGAAAGGGTTGGCCAAGTGATGTGGTGGAGTAACGAACTGTGGTGGTAAGGACTGAAGAGGGGGAGTCGGAGGCAGAGTTTTGCAGACCGCAGTTGGAGACGTTCGAGGGCATCTTGTTGCTGAACATTCATAGCTGAGTGACATGGCCAGAGAACCATATTCGAAAACGGGGCGTATATACGTATATGGCTCACCGATCACGTGACCAGGCACTACCAATCAGCACCAGAGGGAACCTACAATGAAATAAACACGGAGGCCAGAGAAATCGCCACAGACCGAGACGTCGCAGACAGGATGGATGTCCTCGCAAAGTCAGGCGCATTTCTGACACTCAAGGACCACAAAGAGAATTTCACTCAAGCCCTCCTATGCCGGCTCATAAACCCCGCTAAAACAGAGGGTGGCGTCATCAGCAAGGCGATTCTCGACCGCATCATCCGGGCAGTTCAGAGCCACACCAAGACCAACCTGTGGAAAAACTCTGCCGAGGTGATCCAGTGGTTCAAGGGAATACAAGACAGGGAGCATTACTCGTTTGTCAGCTTGGACATACATGTAGTCGAGTTTTACCCGTCCATCTCGGAGCAGCTACTCAAAACGGCTCTCGATTTCGCCGCCCAATTCACTCCCATTCCCCAGTGCGACAGTCACATCGACGTAATTCTCCACGCACGAAAGTCGCTGCTATTTGCCAATGGCAAAGGTGTGGGCCAAGAAAGACAGGCAGAGCCTATTCGATGTGACGATGGGAAGTTTTGATGGGGCAGATGTGTGCCAACTAGTGGGAGCGTTCCTGATCAAACGACTCGCGGATATGTATGATCTGGCTATTGTCGGGCTGTACCGCGACGACGGACTGGCCGTGCTCAGGACTACAACAGGACACGAGGCGGACTCCATCCGCAAGGCAATCACCAAGCCATTCAAAGACGTTGGCCTACGAATAACCATCAGTACCAACCAGAGGACAGTGGACTTCCTCGACGTCACCTTTGATCTAGCCAGCGGCCGCTACCACCCATACCGCAAACCCAATGACGCACCCAGATACATACACACCAAGTCGAATCACCCGCCCAATATACTCCGGAATCTACCTGCAGTGATCAATAGGCGGGTGTCCGACATCTCGTGCGACGAGGAGGCATTCACCAACGCGGCACCCGCATACAGAGCTGCGCTATCTGCCAGCGGATTTCCAGAGGCCATGGTGTTCGACGGCGGTGGGCCTACCAAGAAGAAGAACAAGCCGAGGAGAAACATAACATGGTACAACCCACCATACAGCAAATCTGTATCCACCAATATCGGCCAGAGGTTTTAAACTAGTCAGCAAACATTTCCCTGCCGCGTCGCCACTACACAAGATCTTCAACAGCAACACATTGAAGTTGAGCTACTCCTGCATGCCCAACATGTCCTATCCTACCTGATGAAGGGACATAACCAAAAGGTACTAACGCCTGGTGAAGAGAGATCTGCGGCAGGGTGCAACTACCGAGCCAAGCCAACATGCCCTTTGGGCGGCGGATGCTTGGAGGGGGAAGTGGTGTACCAGGCCTCCGTCACAACCCCAAGTACCGGCGAGGAAAGGCAATACATAGGCCTGTGCGAGACGCCCTTCAAGGTGCGCTATGGCAACCATCTAATCAGCATGCGGCATGACAAGTACCGAACCAAGACCGAGCTATCTAAGCACACATGGACGCTGGCTGACCAAGGTGAGGGATACAGTATCAAATGGGCAGTCATAGATCGGGCCAAGTCCTACAGCAACATATCCAAAAGGTGCTGCTTGTGTTTAGCAGAAAAGTGGCGCATCATCACCTTCAAGACGCCTCACACTCTGCTCAACAAGAGGTCGGAGTTGGTATCAAAGTGCAGACACCAAAACAAGTTCTACCTCTCCACCTACTCTGCCGTGACATAGCCACCGCGTGCTACCACTATCACCGCCACATCCTCTGAATACCCGCGGCTGTTGAATGTGGACACCACAGTGTGCTTCCACCGCCACACATCACACCCCCTGCCCAGTGCCCCCATGGCTTACCCCTGTCCTCCCTGGTGGTTTCTCCGCCTCTGCACGCTCCATGCATAGTTCTCGCCTACTGCGCATGCCCATCCAGTGATGTACATGTAATTCTTATCACTCGCTCTTCCCATGCATGCCCTGCATTGATAACTCACACCTCCTCTACATGCCTATGCATATCCCCCACAATAAGAACAAGCTATCCCGCGACAAAAGTTGTCTGATGATTGCCTTACATGCATTTAACTACGTGCATGAAACGCAACGCATGTTTATAATAATAATTATAATTGGTGAAAACCATTCTTTTTGACCTTTGTGCAACAACACAAAAAAATTTTTTTTTGAATATTTCTGTTGAGAGTCATAAAATTACCACTCCCGGGCTTGTCGGATAACCGACGTGCTCGGATAACGGGCGACCGGAAAGTGACATTCGCCTGTATAACATGTACAATGCAGGTATGAGTTCTGCCTTCTTGTGCTGCATTTATATCATTCAGCAGTGACGTCCTCTTCGCCTTTTGCAGATTTGGTGTGACTTTCCTGCATACCTAGTAGTGGCTGTGCCTTGACTTGAACAAAGAAGTACCGGTACTATACTAGTTCAGTAGTTGATCTACTACTGCAAGAACTACTTCAGTGGAACAGATCAGAAGACTTCTTGAAGAAGTCTTCTGATCTGTTCCACTGACCTGGTGCACGTGGTGCATCGTGCACGTGGTGCATCAGGTACCCGGCTAGTAGTGGACCCAGGACTAGCAGTAGGCAGTACTCCCATAGCTAGCCAGGCATAGTACAATTCGTTCCACTATCGTGCCAGCGCGACGCAAAATCAGTAGCATGTATTCATTGGTGTTCGTCAGATCCTGCAGACCCTTCAAATACTAGTAAAACCGAAGTACCGGTAACTACTTAGTTTCACGGGTCTTATCAGTCGCAGCGAACCAGAGAGAAAGAGAGAGAGAGGGAGAGATCTCACTGGCAATTATTTCACCCTGAAGCACACTACATTGTAGGGTCTGGTTTTCTCGTACGTCTCCTGGTTCCTTTTGCTTTGGCTCTTGGCCTGGTGCGGTTGGTCTGTCTCCTCGCTCGCGCAGCAAGGTTTCTTCTGGTCTGCAGGTATGGCCACAAGCGGTGGCCACCCGTCGCCAGGTAAGTGCGACCACTGACTGGGACTGCGTCTGCATAGTTCTATGGATATAGCAGATTACGTAGGTGTAGATCAACCAGTAACGCGATAAAACCACTCTCGGTGTTACTGGCGCGGCATCATGCCTGTGTTCGCTCCTGGCCAGCGCGTGTCTGATGTTGCTCCGAGTGGGTGTCGATTCGGAGCACGTAGTTGTTACATGATCATGCCTGCGTTTTCAGCGAAGGAACTGCAGGTTCGATAAACAGGAAAGGAAAAAAGCGACAAGCGCA